AGCATCGTGCGGACAGACAAGCCGCAAACGCCCTGAAATCTTGCGGCAGTTTCGGGCTTCCCGGCCGAGCACCGCTCGCGTTCCCAGCGGAGCCGCTGGGACCCCTCTGCCCGGGGCAGGCGGATGGGGACAAAGCCCCGCCGTGTTTAGAGCTTTTTGTCCTTCGAAGCAGCCCAGACTTGCCAGTGCCCGGAAGGTATTTCGTTCTTGAAACTGTTTTCCTGTCCATCAGCAGACACCGGTGCGTCCCGGCCGCGGGACGCGTGTGACAAAGCATTGTCACATCAAAATCTCGTCGCTCGTTTAATTCCCCATCCCTAAAAAACACCGTATGGCTCTTGCCCGGAGTGCTTCCCCATGGAAACATAACGAACAAACGCTGTGGGGATTACCTGGACGCGTAAAAAAAACTTTTCCGGGAGCGCAGAAAACCGGCGGGTCCGAAACAAGCGCAAATAACGCGACCCCTGCCCGGGGACGGGGAGAGGGCGACGGGAAGGTCGGAGAACTCCCCCATCGCTCTCTGTTCACCAGCGAACCCAGCACAGTTACAAGTAGAAAGGAAAAAAAAAAAAAGTTACAGGCAGGGTAAAATTAAAGCTTTTCATTTATCTGCCCAGCTTTCGCTTCAGCCGCGGGGGTAAAACTCCTCCAGCACCCGAGGTGCAAGAACCAGCTGAATTGTCAGATTCCAGGCACGGAGCCCAGGGCAGGAGGGGAAACTCCACGGAGGCATTTGCTCTCCAAGTGCTCCTGCCCGAGTCACCGACGGAGGCGGAAAGAGGCGGCCGGGCCAGCCCCGGGCGCGCCCCCCGGCCTGCGGTGCCCAAAGCGAAGCAGCACCGGAGAGCCTTTACCGGGGCGTTTACCCGAGCTCTGCACCGATTGTGTAATAAACGGAGGGCTCCGTGGTGCTGCTGCACTCCGTGCTGTGCCCTGACAGCATCCGCGCTCTCCCTGCGGTTTTTAGGACGCGATCATTTCCTAAAAACCCGGCGGGGTGAGCTGGGATGGTGGCAGGGCCACCTGGGTCCCCTGGCTCCGGTACCGGAGGAAGCCCCGGGCTGGCAGCGCAGTGGTCCCGGGCGCCGAGAGAGGCCCCTGGCCAAGGCCAGATTCGCACCAAGGTCCAAACTCTTTTTTTTTTTTTTTTTTTTTTTTTTTTGACAGCCGTTAGAGCTTGAAAAGACCGGGGGGAAATAAGAGAATAAAACCCAATTTTGTTAAATGGGGGAAAAAAAGAGGGGGGAAAAAGGAAGGAAGAAAATGAGGTTTTAGCTGCAGCGGAGTGCCTGGACAGCTCCGAAGCATTTTTTCCACTCTGCAGAATTCCAGAGGAGTGAAAGTAAAACCTTTCCTGGCCCCAGCCGTCCCCAAAGCCCCTCCTGGAGCCCCGGCGGGACCCCGACACGCACGGCGATCCCATTTATTCAGCCAGGGCTCGCCGGTTCGCAGCACCTTCCCAATGGCTTGGAAAGAATTCCTGCCCAAAGGACCCTGGGGAGCCCTCGGGGACCCGCAGAGGTCCCGGGGTCCCGGCGGCTCCCGGCGCCACGGAGGGAAGCGGGAGATTGGCACCGCTTCTCGCAAGGAAACCCTAATAGGCTATTTCTGGACTACTGGCTCTTAACAAATCTATAGCACCTGAAGTGTTAGCACTCAATTAGTGACAAGGTTTCAAACCCCAGCATTTACTGGCGAGGTATAAACAGAGTCCTCGGAGATAGCTGGGAATTAGAACGGGAGGGGGCCCTGGACATCTTAACCGGCTGGGATTAAGAGGAAAACTTTTTTAAAAGGTACCATCTCTCTCTCTCTAAACAGTCCGAGGTGTCGAAAGCTCCGAGGGAGAGAGGATGTGCCCTCTGGAGCTAATTGCGGGGTTGGGGATTTCTTCTCTTTGTTTGGTTGGTTTCAGCAAGAAAAGTTTTTTGTGTCCTTTTTTTTTCCTTTTTAAGAAAAAAATAGAAAGGAAAAAAATACGAAAGCACCCTAAACCTAGCACCTAGCATTAATCACATTCAGCAATCCCGGAGAGAAGCAACAAGCGGGTTGGGTTGCGAGAGGCCGGGGCAGGCTCAGTCCCGAGGGGGCAGCGAGAGCAACCTGCAAACAGAGTGAGGGCAGCGGGGGACAGAACAGGACACCCCCACTTTCCCCGACAGGCAGAAAAAACAGCAGCGGAATTTCACCCTATCTCCCCCACTTACACCCCTGGGTCTACAGAAAGTGTTTCAGGGCGCTCGCTCCTCGGGGTCCTGGCTCTCTTTACCCCTTTTTTCTTTTTTTTTTTTTTTTTTTTTTTGATGTTATTTAAACGCGATCAAAAACGAGTCCGCAAAAGTTCAAAGCGATGCGGGAGAGTTCGGGGTCCCCACCCGCGGGGACACCCGGGCTGGGCAGGACCCTGCGGGCTGCGAGCAGTGTCCGGAGCTGGGGGAAGCTGTCCCTTTGTCCCTTCCTCTGGACAGCCGGAGCCTGGCTTCAGCGGGCTGCTGGAGAGCCCCGAGAAAGGGAGAGAGGGGCTGGGAGAGGGGGGAGGAATGGGTGCTGAGCCCCGACCCGGAAAGTCCGTGAGCTGCTGTACGTCAGTAACTGATTCATCAATCAGCCGGACACAGAGCAGACCTGGCCTCTCTTTGCGGAGTGTTTGCTTTTTCACCAATTATTGCGGCCCTGCAGCTCTTTTTGTTGATACAGTAGTTCTAAAAAGTGCTAATGTTCATTTATCAGGGGGCCGAGCCCGGGACTCCCACTAGTTGTGATTCTTCCAAAAATATAAACACGAAGAGAAGGGCTGAGGCTAAAGCCCCCATTTGTTTCTAAACTGCAGTATTAAAAGTGATGCATTGTTGAAGATAAAGCGGAGATAACGCTGTCTGTCTCCAATGAATGTCTCCCCGACGCATTAATGACATTCCAAATGATAGCTCCGGCTTATCGTTCAATTAATCACTTCCACCCTGTGCAGCCGGGCCCACATCGATCGGCAGCCGCCGTGTGACCGGGGGGCTGCAGGGAGCCCGGCATCCTCCACGAACCCCGCCCCGCCGGGATGCGCTCCGGCCTCCCGGGCCCGGGAAAAGCCCCGGAGCAGGAACGGCCGTGCGAGCTCCGAGCCTGAGCCGGGAAGGAGCCGGGATAAAGGAAGGGAGCGCTGCAAGGCGCTGCTCCCATCCCGCAGGATGGGGACGTCGCCAAGGCAAATTTGAGCGGCGGCTCTGGGTTTGGGGAGGGTCGGGATCGCTTCGTTATTTCAGCCCGTATCTAACCCACCCCTCTAAGCTTGTAATAAAAAGGAGGCAACGAGGTTCAGAGAGCCCGCGGAGGGCCAGGGGTGCCGCAAACACTCTGCAAAGCCCCTCCACAGGCCCCTCTCCCCAGGCTGCCTCCACATTCCCGGGGCACTTCACCCTCGCTCCTGCAGCAGAGGAGCATCCATCCATCCCCTGCAGTTATTTCCCAGGAAAGCCTGCAGGAAACGCAGCCGCGAAGATCGAGCCCTCCCCTCATTAAATCGCAATATTTCAGGCCTCCCTGTTCACAGGGATCGCTCCGACTGTCATCGCCAGATCCGGGGCTGCCTCGCCAACAAACCGCTCCCAGCAGCGGCTGCAGCGGCTCCGGCAGCGCCGCCTGCAAAAACATCCGAAATTCAGCTCCTCGGGGTGCCGAGACCCAAAATCCCGGGGGGGTCCGTCCTGCTGGGGGGGTGGGCAGCGCTCACCTTTCCACCCGCCCCGGAGGGTCCCGTCCTGCGGGAGGAGAAAGGATTTGCACAGCTCTGACCCCGCCACTTCCAAGAGCGGGGCTCAGCCAAGGGCCCCCAAACTCACCGCAGCCCTTCAGGCTCTCTCTGCTCTGCTCCCACCGAGCCCATCCCCGTGCCGCTCTCAGCCGGGCGCTGGAGCGCTAAAGGAGATTCTTTATTTATTTCTAAATTTTTTTTTTCTGGACCCCCCCTAACCCACCGAGCCCTGAACCGCCCCTCCGCAACCTGCGACTTTGAAGCCAAGGTTTATTGGAGCGGCTCCACGCGAGTTAAATGAACGAGCCCCACCTCTGCTCCATGAACCGGGGGCCGTGCGCCCACCCGAGCTGCGGGACCCGGCCGGGGACAGCGGCCCCTTGCTTTACCTACCCCTCCCATACCCCTGGGTATTTTGCAACACCTTCACCCGCGCTTGTTTTGATTGATTTTTTTAATTTTTTTTTTCCCAGACAGTGTCGCATTTTTTGTTTGAAAGCTTTACAAACAAACGAGAGGAAAACCCAGTCGGCATTTCCCTCTCCAAAGCCAGGCAGGGGCTGCTCAGAGTCTCTCTGCTGTCAGCTGGACTTTGCAATCATTATGCTGCTTTAGAAAATCTGTATAAACCCTGAGCGCGGATTTCCCCTTCAGCGCGCTTCACACAGCGGCGAACTCACGTTTTTTTAGTTCCTGCCATCGGATATTGCAGAATACTAAAAACGAAACCTCCGTTCTCTCACTTAAAAAAAAAAAAATTAAATCAGCACATATTTGGTTGATGGTTTCCTCCGGGCCTGTTTATTTAATCTGACTGTATGATAGATAGCATCAGATAGTGACTTTGTACGCATTAGGCCTTTCTTTTTTGTTGATTTTTTTTTTCTTGTTTCAAATGGATGAACAAACCCTCCGCTGCAAGGCTGGAGAAATGCAGTGCCGCCCCTTTAAAAGAGCGGAGCTGTTTTTGAGATGTATTACTATATTAGGTGACATGGAACTTTGCATCTCTCATACCATCACCGCAATGTTGGCCAATAGAAAGCTAAAGTCACCCAAAAACTGCCTAGTCCCTCCTTCCCTGGCCTTATGGTCCGCTCCTACCTGGCGGCAGTGCACAAGTCAGGGCTACTCTCGGGAATGCTATGTGCCCCCTCCGGGAGCCCACGCTCCACCGCTGCTCCACCTTGGCCGCTCCCCACCTCCTTTTCCATGACCCTGGGCTGCGGCCGCTGCCCCGCTGTCCTCCGCAATGTTTCCTAGCCCTGTGACAAGCACCCCCTTCTCGGTGAAGGATATTCTGAACCTGGAGCAGCAGCAGCAGCAGCAGAGCCTGGGCTCCATGGAGCTGGCCTCGCTGGCCTCCCCGTCCTGCATGCTGGCCACCTTCAAGCAGGAGGCGTTCGGCACCGAGCCCCCGGCCCTGCCCGACCTGCGGGACGAGCTGCCCGAGCCGCCCCCCGGCAAAACCGCGGCCGCCTTCCCCGGCTCCTACTACGGGAAAAGCTTCGTGGAGATGGACTCGGCCAAGGAGGCCAAGGCAGACAAGAAAGGTAAAGCCAAGCGCTGCTGCGCGGGGCTCGGGGAACAAGGGATGGCAGGGACATGGGGAATCTCCCAGCAGGGTTGGGCGCTCGGGCGGGGGTGCCCAGGGCTGCGGGGGACAGGGGACAGTGCGGGCTGCGCTCGGTGCCGGGGCTCGGTGAGCGGCAGCATCGTTATCCCGTCCCGGGCCCTGCGGGAGCGGGGCTGAGCCCACCCGGGCAGGGCACCCCGGCCCGGACACCCCCGGGGATGCGCCCCTGTCCAACGGGACGGGCAGAGCTGCCACACGCGAGGCCTCGAGTTCGGGCACAAACCAGGTGACAAATGCGATTCCTGACTCGCTCGGGGGTCGGGATGGGTTTCAGCACAAAGTTACGAGCGATAAATCCAGGCTGGGGCACAGGCGGGCGAGACTCACATCAGCGCACGGGGCACCGTCGTTTTCAAACAAAAACCACGGAAATTTTGCTGCAGAGGTACCTAAAGAGCGGGGCAGGGCCGGTCCTGCTGCTGCAGGAGCGGGCGGCCACAGCGGCCTGCGAGGCCGAGGAAGAGCCAGGACTCGCTCGCTCTTTATTAAATACTAATTTATAAATTTTTTGCACAATTTTCCCTCCCCCTTTTTCCCTTCGCCCCTATATTTTGCTGCAGAACTCTGTTCCTTACACAAGAGCCTGGAGCAGGAGAAAAGAGATCCGGAAGACCCCGAGCGCCCCAGACAGAGGAAAAGGAGGAAACCTCGCGTCCTCTTTTCTCAAGCCCAAGTGTACGAACTGGAGAGAAGGTTCAAGCAGCAGAAATACCTCTCGGCCCCCGAGAGGGACCATCTAGCGAACGTCCTAAAGCTCACCTCCACCCAGGTGAAAATTTGGTTCCAGAACCGAAGGTACAAATGCAAAAGGCAGAGACAGGACCAGACGCTGGAAATGGTGGGGATCCCTCCCCCGCGGCGGATCGCCGTGCCGGTGCTGGTGCGCGATGGGAAGCCCTGCCTGGGGGAATCTTCGCCCTACAGCTCGCCCTACAATGTCAGCATTAACCCCTACAGCTACAACGCCTACCCCGCGTACACCAACTACAACAGCCCCGCCTGCAGCGCCAACTACAACTGCAACTACCCCTCCATGCAGCCCATGCAGCCCTCGGCGCCCGCCAACAACTTCATGAACTTCAGCGTGGGGGACTTGAATTCGGTGCAGGCGCCCATCCCGCAGGGCAACGCGGGCATCTCCACCTTGCACGGCATCCGAGCCTGGTAGAGCCGCCCCGGGCTCGGGACATTGCCAGGCTGCGGGGCTGGGGGTGGCTCAGGGGAGCATCCCCGCGGATCCCACGAGTGCGGTGGCCACGGACGGGGCGGGTTTTGGTATTTCGTGCGGGGACAGGCAAGCACCGGCGGGGGATGCCCGAATTTCCCGGCTCCTCTCGGCTCCTTTTCACCCGGGTCTTCACCCTGATAATTCCCCTCCTTCCTTCCTACAAACCAGCCGGTAATTTCGCGTGACTTGTTCCCAACAACACCCAGCCGAGCCCTGCAACTCTCTCCCTTTTTTGTTTTTCTTTTTTTTTTTTTTTTTAACTTTTACTCTATACTAATTATTATTATTGACATCCACATTTAATTTTTGCACTTCCCATACGGTCCCCGCTGTTCGGTCAGTTCGGCATCTCGGCACCCCCAGGTGTCCCTTGCGAGGGATGAGGACAGACAGACAGACAGACTCCCGAGAGACACAGACACCCCGGCCCGCCAGGTCCCATAGGGTTCTGCACTAAAACGTGAGTTAGCATGAAAATGCACTGTCCGCCCCTTCGAGCGCGCTGCCCTTTGCTGTACGAGCTGAGAGATCAGCGAGTTGTCATTAAAGAGAGTGGCTGAACCTCGCGTCCCTTGCGTTCTTGCGCATCCCGGACATCCCGGGGCTCTCCGGGGCCGCCTGCCCGCTCCGGGAGCCTTTCCCGGCCGGTCCCCCCCTCCCCGGGTTTGTGCAGCCCCTCCGGTGCGCTCGGCATTCCCGTTTTGCAGCCCTCCGGTGCGCTCGGCATTCCCGTTGTGCCGCCTGCAAACGGTGTTTGTATTTAAAGGAGTTTTTTAAATTATTTTAAAGCCGCTTTTCGAGCTCCCAGCCTGGCCAAGCGCCGCCCCGTGTCCCCGGGCTGGGATCGGGACCGAGCCCATCGTTCCCAGTCTCCGGGAGCGCGGGGCTGGTTTGTTATTCCCTGCACAGAAATCGCTGCAAAGAGAGGTACCCACACCCCAAGTCACGACCCAAAGCCCCCAGACTGCCCCCAGCCCATCCGCAGGAGGTTTCCACAGCCCCTGCCCCTCCTGTCCCCATGGGGGGAGCACAGAGGAGCCCCCGTCTGTCCCCAAAGTGCCCAGGGACAGCGAGCGGGGCTCCCCAGCGCCCGGCTCCTGCCTCTCCTCGGCCGCTCTTACGGTAGTCGCTATCAAATGTCAATTATTGGGAGTGAGAAACAACAAACATTGTAATTCAGCGCAGTCACAACATCCTCTGAGAGTGTCTGAGGCTGTCCGGCCGGTGACAGGGCGATTAGGGGGACCTGCCACCCCTCCTGCCTCGGCCCTATCGGCCCCATCAGTAAACAGGGATGGAGACAGGGTGGCTGTGGCCCTGGGACAGAGGATGAAAGGCTGCCGGGGAGTGGAAGCTGCCTGCAGCCTCTCTCCCAAGCCCACAGACCCCTCCCGAGGTAGGATTGCACCGATAAGGAGCTCCCAGCTCCTTCCAGCCCCTGCGAACACCAGAGCAGCGCCGGGTGCTGCCCACCAAGCCCCCAGTGCACAAACACCTGTCTGGGGCTCGGGGCTGGCAAAGAGCGACCTTCAGCCTCATCCCGAGGGGAGTCTGTCTCAGGGAGCTCACCCCACAGAGCCACAGGGGCCTGAGACAAAGGGGACTCGAGGCTGCCGGCATGGGGACAGGGGACAGGGCTCCTGGGCAGGCCAGAAGGGAGCAAAGCCACCTCCCCTCACCTGGAACCATCCCCAGGGCTCCCTGAGGGCTTTGCCTTAGGGAGACACAGGATCCAGGTGGGAGAGAGGCAGCAGAGGAACCGGGAAATGCCCTGCCTGAGTGAGGAGAGCCAAGGTGTCCCCAAGAAGGAGGACAAACTCTGGGAAAACATTATTATTCTAACACCATATAAAATTTTAAATTAAATATTTGCATATGACAAACCTTTCATACCTAGGAGTGAGTTTAGTTATCAGTAACAGTTCTGTCATTTTTTCAGATAACTCTTGGATGGAGAATCTGACTGAGTGGGGCAGGAGAAAGCTGGGTTTAAACTGGTGAGGGATGGGGCAGTCACAGTTTGGGGCCACAGTTTGCCTGAGCTGTCAAATGGTCACAGTGGTGCCACCGTGCCACTCCTGCTGTCACCACCACAGAGCTCAGCCCGGGCCAGAGCACACAGGGAGCCCCCAAAAGAAGGACGAGTCCTGAGTTAACTTGGGGGCAGGCATTGAGGCTAAAACTCGAACTTTCAGAAACCATCCCGAAGCAGGGCCCTTCTTTAAGTGGGCAAACAAAACAGACAGCAGTGAAACTTCAGAAAAAGCCACAGGAAAAAGTAACTCCCCACATCAACACAGAACCCTTCTCACACACTCCCCACATCCTTTCCCTTCCTCAGACACTGTTATTTTCTCCAAACAAGTTCATTTTCCTCCCATAATAACTCAGAGCTACAAGCTATCAAGAAATCTGCCTGTCCAGTGGGATTTCCCTGCAGTGGCTGCTCTGGGCACCAGCTTTGGCTCTGATTTCCAGGGCTGCACTGTGCTCATTCTCAGCAGGGATGGATGTCCCACAGCCCCTGCTCACACGTTCCCCTCGTCCTGCGGGAATTGCATCACGAGCAGATGCAGGGCAGGGTGAGACGGGGTTTGGAGCAGCAGCCGGAGCCTTGGAGCCGGCTCAGGAAGTGATTTAGGAGCGGACACGAGCACAGCTGCCCGGGGCCGGCGCTGCCAGGGGCACAGAGCCTCGGTTAAAGACCTTCCATCAGCTGGGTGAACGGGAAGAGCAAGGAGGTACAGGAGGAATGACCCGATGCCTCAGCTTTTCTATTTTTCACATTCTGTGCTGCTTTAGTGTGTGGGTCTGGGTTCACATGAAGGGATGGTGAGCTCTCTGCACAGAGCAGGGAGACAAAACAATTCCTGCTCCAGCTGGGCACCAAGGACAAATGACCCAAATCTCAGCCCCAGAGCACAAACACCGTGGGCTGGAGAGAGAAAAACAAGGATGGGACTGCAGGGGCTAAAGCTGGGATGGGACAATGAACTGCAAGGTGCAAATGGAGCAGAACTGATCCCAGGGACAGAGCCCGTGCCCGGCCGTGCATTTTGGGGCCATTTTGGTTCATCTTGGGTGCAGCCCTGGCTGGGCTCTGGTGCTGCCCAAAGTGGATTCATTGAGGAGATGCTTTGAATAAATCCCTGCTTTATTCTGTAGCTCTGTCCAGCTTCTGTTCTGGCTCAGCCTTCCCAAGGCATCAGACCCCCCCAGCACACAGATTCCGGCCCAGGGCACTCCCTGTGCTCACGGATCCCATTTCTCCCATTCCAGCCCGGCCTCATTTCCAGCTGCAGCCCCACACCAGCTCAGCCCACAGGGTCAGGCAGGGGCAAAAGGTCCCCCCAGGACTTGCAGAAGCACCGGGGCTGTGCCTCTCTGAGCTCAGCCCTCTGAAAGGCTCAGAAAAAACACCCGTATCAAATCGGACCCGGTCCTGCCGAGCCTGAAGCGTTTCCCATCTCTGGAACAGCACAAAAATCCTGTGCTTAGGAAAGGTTATTGTAGAGGGAAGAGCAGGATCCTGGCATTTCCCCACGGAACTGAAATCAGGGATCCTCCCAGTGCCCAGGGGCAGGCCAAGGGCTGTAGGAAAAAAGCTTTTAATAAGATTTGCACTTGGATTTGATCTCGCTCTTCCCTCGGTTTGGTTTTTTTTTTTTTTTTTTTTTTTTTTGGGATTACACAGCCTGGCACTGGCATTCAAGGCCCTGTTCAAACCCAGTTTTTTTGGGGGTATTTTTTTGAGAATTCAGTGTCCCAGCTCCACCTGAAGGTGACAGGGTGAGAGCAGCTCAGTCCTCTCGAGACAAACTGCACATGGCAAGTTTATCCAAACCCTTTGGAATCCACAGAATTTGTACAGGAACGAGCTGTCAGCTGTAAGGGACTGATACCAAATCCCTTGCCTGTGGCAGTTTTGTAGGAACTGAAGTAATTGTTTTTCCCAAAAAACACCCGTGCGGTTCCTAGAGTGCCAGAATTTTATTCCTTAAGTTCAAGGAGGTTTCACATCGGAAGTTTTTCTCTGGAGTCCAAAAACAAGATACGGTCCTGGCAGGAATTAAGTGTTTCAGTGTTCCTGAGAAGCTCGGCAGGAAAACAACAGATCAACAACCCTCTGTGCCCGGCCCCTAATTCATCTCACTGACATCGGTTTAGATCAGTATCAGCAGTAAGCCATTTCTTCTTAATGGGGATTATTAAGAAGAATCAACACCTTTAAAATGCCACTCCAAAGCGAGAAAGGGATGCGCTTTCAGGCTGGAGCCCGATTTTTCATTCCTGGGTGGTTTGTTATTGTCCAAAACACGAAATTAACGCTGCATTTTGGCACAGAGAAGGCAAGCCGAGATTTCTCCCAGCAGATCAAGAAACGCATTTGTGAAAGTTCATCAATCAAGGCTCAGCAAAGTGACACAGAACGAACACATTACTCGGAGATCTCCCCCTGTCTCCTGCAGTCATTTTAAACGCTGCCACTCCAGCGTTTATTGCAGCAAGAGAGACCCATTTAGAGACGGGAACATGCAGCAAAAAAGACCCATTTGGAGACGGGAACATGCAGCAGAAAAGACCCATTTGGAGACGGGAACATCCCGAGCAGCCCATCAGCCACATCCTCCCTTGTCCTGCACTGGGCTGGAGCTGATGGGGTGAGGGAAAATGGTTGAGTTCTTCTGCATGAAGGAGCTGCTGGAACTTCCAATGAAATAGAAATTATTTCAATGGAGACTGGATCAATAAGCTGAGACAGAAAATAAACTCTTTCCCAGAAACTGAGTACCCAGGAAGAGAAATTCACATGAGAAGAGCATTTTGAAACCAGCTCTGTGTGTGAGCAGCTGGGGCGCTGACCCCACTGAGACTGTAACACATCCCTTAACTCATCCCTGCCTAAAACAATGTGATTTTTGGTGTCAACAAAGAATCAC